AAGAGGCAACACTAAAACTAGCACTTTTTGCTGCGCGCGTTTGGGATGCGAGGCGATTTTTCTAAGCGGATTGCGGCGATGGCTGCTGTTACTAAGGACTTATAGAATGTACGAGTATACAAATGACCAAAGTGACGCGGAAAGCGATTGTCACACTCCTGGCGAGACGACTTCCTCCCGTTAACGCCATTCGTGACGCATTCATTATCACAGTCGATACTTACTTTTATTGGCAGCTTTGTATGCAAATGCAAACACGCGCGCATTAATTAAAAAAAAAAATGTTTTCAGGTGTAAGGAAGAAAGAAAGAAAAAAAGAGACCACAAATAATATAACCACCGAAAATACAACTGAATAAAACCTCAATTTGAATATTATTCAATTGTTTTTGGTTTATGTTTTTGAGGTGCAGACTTTTGTTGTGTGCTTCTTTTTTGTTGCTGTTGCTGTGATGGTATTGAATTAAAGTTATTGTTTTTTGTCTTATCTTAATTTGGATTTAGCTTGATGCAGTTTTTATGTTCAGATTATGTACCTATATGCAACTGAAAAAAGCGGCGACAAAGTGCAAATTTATGAAAAATAATGATCGCTTAATTATACTTTATTTACACAGATACATATTTGAAATAAAATTTTATTTCAGCGAAGCATAAGCAAAATCTCGATAATGATAGATACGAGTACGGAAATTAATTTTTTTTTTTTCAAAATTATCTTAATTGTAGGCCGAATAGTATTTCTGTAAAGTAAAAATTTGAAACTTGACAATTTTAAATTTGTCCACATATCCATTTATATACATATGTATTCGTAATTATTAAGTGCTGTTCTCATCATAATAAAAGTGCGGCTAAACGATGCAACGTAAGTGTGTTTTCTACGCATTTTGCCGTCAAAATGCGAAACTTTCCCGTTAGCCAGAAAGTCCTTTTTGCAGATGTGAAGAAATCACTTTCGGAAATAAAAAAGGCAAGGTGTAACCGCAACTGAAATTACGCAAATTGCTTTCGAGAAATAATTTACACTTGCTCGTGCTACACTAGCAATTTCCATTTTTGCTGCAAGTGCTGTCAAACCAATCGAGTGTTGCCGTGTCACGTGATTTTAGGCGAACTTGTATAAAATTACAAAAATGTTGCATCACACACATATAAAAATTACTTGTAATCAATTTATTCTCCTGATATGAACTATTTAAATATGAAAGCAGTCGACAGTTTGTGGCCATACAAAGTGCTACTTTTTGGCCTTGTTTTTATACTTTCGTAAAATAGGACTCTTTAGGTAAAAAAAAAACCGTGAAATATTTCCAGAATGTCACTTTTAGGTGAAAAAATTGGAAATTCTTGCCGAAGAAATACTAAACAAAAAGCCTGCCTCCAAAGAAAACCCTTATCAACCATAAAAAAAAAACAATAAAAGCAAAGATGCCATAGGAGAAATGGAAGCCAGTAGATATTAAACTTTCAGAAACCCTCAGAAGTGGACACGGATCCGAATGCACCTGTGTTGGTATTTAATAGAGAAGGGTGCTTCAGTGGGTTAATAATCATCAACTACAGTTCCTCTCTGAATGGGTAAAAGAGCAGTTAGAGATTTACAGGGCCTTTGACAGGGGCATCCCTTGAAATAGTAGATGGTGGCGCCGTTCCGACGACACTAAAAGCTTTTTCCGCGCTGAGAAACAGCGAAAACAGAATCCAGTCGTTACGATGCCAGGGTCTTGATAGTGGAATAGTTAGCAAAAGATGAGTGGGTCAGAACTACACTAGCCGACCATTGAAAGTATTTTTCTTTACAATTTGTGCCCTGCATGAACCGAAATTTTGAACTCTCCGCTTACAACATACCGTTTTGCACACGAACTTGTTGAAGCGAGAGTTGTGTTTATGCTGAAGACAGGTAAAAGCAGCCCGAAAGAGTTCAGGCCCTTCAGTTTGATCTCAATTACCTAAAAACATACAGAAAGCTTGAGAGTAAAAATTCCGAATTTCTTGGTTCTTTTAATTCCATTCACGTAAATTCAAACCTCTATCGAAATCGCTTGGTTTCTAAACTAATATATGTAATTCCACGTCCTCCAATATCTACTTGCCAATGAAACATTTTTGCAATAAAATAGACGATTATGTGACAAGGAACTCAGAACCAACTGCAAAACCAGTTAATTTGTGTAAATATAGTGAAGCATAATGTACACGCTTCTTCGTTAAAACTCTCTCGAAAAGATTTTAGAATTATCACTGGCATGCTAACAGGTCACCAGCCATTAACGACTGAAGCAATCAAAATGGGAGCTATCGGCATTAAAATGGACAGGAAGTGTTGGAGCATCTTCTATACTTATAGCAAGCATTGTCAAAACCTCGATTGGATTTCTTAAGGACTTGTTAATTCGAGAAGTTAGAAGACAACACAACTTGAAATCATTACTAAAATTCTCAAAATGCGTTGATAGCCAGAAAACTGTCTACTTGAACTTAAAAAAAATCGAAAGCCATCTGGTATCACTAGGAACCAAGTGGTCTATATCCATGGCCCCGGGTTACTTCATCTCACCTGGTCGATGGCCATCAATTTATCTCATCTTGAACGCCGTGCAAAAGACTACATTAACTCGATGAACCATGCCAATTTCGTACTAACTCAGCGCTGTGAAAAAATGATCCTATCAGCTTTTTCAGACATACCATCCTAACACAGGCGCGCTTAATTTTGTGCCGTATTTTGAGCTGTTAGACAATGGGTACTACCATTAGTAAACACACCAAATTGTTAAAGCCGAAAATCATCTTCATCAACATATTCTGATTAGGTGTACCGCAGCACTTATGAAAACAACACGTCTGAAAATCTGTAATCGATCTATAATCAGAGTGTCCAGATTGGGTGATTAAGCGCCAAATTGGCGATTTTTTGTGGGATGCTTGCGCGCAAAAATTTAGAAAATCGCTTTGGGCGATTTTTTTCCTTCAAAAAAAATTTTTTGGGCGCTATCATTTTGCCCACGAAACCGCACTTAATGCCAAATGTGCGCAACCAAGGAACTAGTTTGGGTAAGTTACACATTTTCTTCGAGTGCGGTTAAGAAATAAAAGATACTGATACTTTGTATTATTATATTTAGGATGTCACCAAATATCAAGATCGAATAGAATATACATATGTATAACAACAATACAACAAGTAATTTTTAGCAAAAAAACTTGCTTAAAAATATATATATATATCTATATATATTTCATGATCCAATGATCGGATCTAAACCAGATTAGTATGGGACTACCTCTGGGACACTACCTTTCCGATGCAAAAAGAATTATTGAAATCGGTTGACGTTGTCCAAAGTTATGCGGTAACATACATAAAAAAAAAATATTCCGACGAACTGAAAACCTCCTTTTTTGGAAGTCGGTTGAAAAGAAATGATTCAGGCACTACGTATAAATGATTTTGAGGAAATTGTGGATATAGCTCATCTCGCCTTATTATAGCTTTGCACTTTATTTTTAATCAATTAATAATGAATTTATTAATTGCGCAGACCTATGTTTTAAAAGTATACGCAAAATTGTTGGTTATAAGTTATTTGTGTTATTTATTATTGCCCTGAAGGTATTATATTCTTTTTGCTTTAAAAAAAACTATTCCATAACAAGGTGTAATTTTGAAAAAAATAAATAAAAAATTGTTATGTCGATTTCATGCGATTTTTTTTAAAGAAATTGCGCTTTTTTATTTAAACAATCTGGACACCCTGTCTATAATTCAGAAATGGAGAATGCGTTGCGGGTAAATATTAACATTATAAATAAATAAATAAATATTCGGTGCTTACACTTTTGCTAAGTGCTTGGCCGAGCATCTTCACTAAATTGTGATTGACCTTATAACATAAATGGAGAGACCTGCAATTTTATGCCGCACCGGAACGTCAAATGAATTTTATGAGAAGCTTTTTCAGGGCGGAATTACACTCGGAGGTTTGTCATTGCCTACCGGGGGCGTCCGCTCGGAGCAAGGATAGAAGCCAGGTCCTACGAAGTGGTAGTATGTGGTACCTCTAACCACTTGGCTACAGCACTACGCTAAGTACACTAAAATACCACAATAACACAAATTGAACGGTTTCAGAATACTATTCCAATAGTTCATTACACTTTTACAAGCACCTCAAATTTTAGCAAAATGTGAATAAATTTTTCCGAAGGCATGTATACCCACTGAAATATTGGCGCTTTAACCATAAAAGGTATAGATATGAAATTCTTTTGCTTTTCATTTTTCTTACACTTTCATTTTCTTCTTCACGTTCAATTGCTCTCATTGTGATCGTTCGCCTTCGGGCTTGCTCTTCTAAATAATCACAAAATAGTCAGCGATTTTTTCACATGCGCGCATTTAACAGAATTTTCCTTTCTAAGTTATCACAATTAGCATAATTTAACGAAAGCAGTAATAATTATGCACCCAAATTGAGTTAGTGCAGATTAGGCACGAACTTTTTGAATTCGTGAATAAACACTGTTATCTGTGTATGTTTAACAGTCAACGTTATCGGCAGGAATGTTTGTTCTGCTGCACTTGAAAGTGTGAGAGGGTTGGTTGTGGCGGTGAGGTGAATCATGGGGCCCAGGCCCATAAAATTTTCAGAACGCCTATTTCTCCTATTGCGAGAATTTTGAAGAATATTTTCTTTTATTATTTCGGCTTTTAAATGATCGAAGATGATTGCAAAAAAATTAATATCATCGAATGGATATGCAAAGAGAGCAATTTCAGTTGCCATAGATTGGTGAGAAAACGCAATTTCTCTCTTCGTTACTGAAGCACTGAGCATAAAAAATATTTAAACAAATAATAGAGAAAAAACTGAAATGTATGCGCATATATAAGCAGCAGAAATATTTATATGCAAAATTGCAATGTGTGCAAAAGCGGAGAATCGAATAAAAAGTCGAATAAACAGACGTTGTGAATGAATGTGGCAACTTACCGTAAATTCACCGGTGACCGCATCAAAGCCCACATGCACGGTATGCTCGAAATTAGTGGGATATGAAATATTCGGCTTGGAGTCTGTATGCGAGGGCTTTGAGCCTTTTATCTTATTCTTCAGTGTCTTTTTCTTGCGATCGGGATCATCGGGTTCTGCGTACGGCCGTGTAATAAGTAAATGAAAAGTGATTGAATGTTCGAAAGCTTTCCACTAGGCAAATAACATTCGCACTTACCTTTGGGCAATGGACGCATGTCGACGGGTGGGCCATCGCCGCCGCCGCTACCACCGCCAACACCAACACTTGTATTTAGGCCGCCACCGCCAACTCGATCTCCACCACGGTTGCTGGTCAAACGCACGGGCGGCGCTGGCGGTTTGTCCTCTTCACTGGACATTTTTCGTGATTGTTGTAGGGAGTAGTTGTCGACGTCGTCGTCGTCGTCGCCGAGGAGGTGATGATGATGTTGCTGCTCTTGCTCTTGTTGTTGGCACGCGATAAATTGCCGTAGCGAACAGTTGCGGTTAGGCGGACGTACGATAGCAAACTGAGGCGCGTCGGTGACCGGTAAGCGCTCAACTGCGGCAGCTGAAAGAAGAAAATATATGGGTAAGAATGGAAATACGAGTATAACTACATATGTACAATAACTAGTAATTAGAGCAAGTTGATTTGTTTTGTTTTGTTGTTGAGTAATGCATTTTTTTATTGCTGAAGGTTTTGAGACAGAATGGCGATTGCTGTTCGACTTGCAGAGTTTTTTTCCCCATTCAGTCGACAGTTAGAACGCTGATAACACACGGTGGTCGCAGCGATCGCACACGTCATTGAAATTCGCACTTAAAGAGCGTTTGTCATATTTTTTTTTGCAAACAAGGCAATGAAACTGGGGCAACAACAATATGAGACCGAAAGCAAAAAGAGACACTATGATGATGGCGCGTGAAAACGAAGAACGCTGATGAATTATTAAATAATAAAATATATGGCACTCAGATTAGAGACTTTATGGACACATAAGCACACAGTCACAAGGAATATGATGTTATACAATAATATTTTGTGTTATCTGATGCCTTTACATTTTTGTTTGCCAAGTTTTTTTTTGCTTATTCTTTTCTCTGTTGCTGTAAAAAAAACTGCTACGAGAAATTTGGGCAATTATGTTGAGCCCCTTCTTGGTATCAGCAAGTGATAAAGAACACAATGGCCACAATAAAAGCAATAAAACACAACACGCCGAACAAGAGAAGATGCCGAAGAAAAGGCTGAAAACGATAGAAAGTTAGAGATTCGAATAACTCTACACGATCTGTAATCTCCATGGGCGCGCCAGCGGCAGCAACTAAAATAGCAAAACAAGCGGGAGTACTCGCGACGGCGGCAACGACAACGTAGACGGCAGCAAAAAATGTCAATAACTTTGCTGTCGCAAGACATTCCTCGATGTTATTCTTCCGGTTGGCTTTGAAAATGACGGGAAATCCACATACATATCTACATGTATGGTATAAACACATATGCACACAAACAGGCGTATTCATTCAACCAAACATGTACGCGTGCAAAAATACAATAAATAAATAAACGAAGAAAATTTAAAAAAAGAAAAAGAAGCGAATTTGAATGCGCGCAATGCAACGGCAGACGGCAACGGTGGGGTCTTGTAACCGGCGGGCGGCATGGGCCAGAAGATCAACGGTGGCAAGCGCGTAGGTGACAAGAGCGAGTGCCCCATAAATTCTTTAAGAACACTATATTTACTAGATAAACAGAATACGTGTACGTATACATATGTATATTAGGGTGGTCCAAAATACACAGAAAAGTTCACTTTTTGGAATTTTCACGCTGCCACCCCCGAACCGAATATTGAAAATAAAGAGACTCGGTATTTTTTAGTTTGAAATCGGTTAATATCACTGGTTTACAGCAAAAATGTTCTATGCATACCACTTTTCAATTGCCATTTAGAATTGCTCGGTGATTCCGAAAATCGCGTTAATTTTTTCTCTATGGATACGTTTTTGAGAGGTTTTAAATTTACCGTTAATCATCAATCAAATAAAATTTGTGTGAATTATTTGTTGTTCTTCCACCACATTTTTCATTAGAAACGGCCTCAAGCTCAATAAAATTGTTGAATATTTGTTTGCCCGAATAATAATATTACCTTTCCAAAATCCTCAAAAAATAAAACTATGATGCATTTTTAATTTTAAAATTTTACTAACAACTAATTCATTTATTCTACATAAGTTATCCTAGAATAGGTGTAGTAAATTTTAGTATAATAACACTCTACAGCACTCGGCTGGGTATTGGACCAAACCAACTTTTTTTGTAGAGATTGAGTCATAAGTAAACAAAGTAATTCCTCCGTTTTTCGAAGTTAGCCTCCGAAATCGAGACATTCAAATTTCGAAATTGGACCTTTGGTAAAAAATTATTTTTAATTATCTCCTGTAAAAAGCAAAAAAAGTATAAATAAAGATGTAGTCCGCCTTTTGCTCTTATTTATATGGTAATAAATGGTATACGTTTTTTTGTGAAAGCTTATATTACAGGTGCTATAACGGGTCAAAGGTCAGATCTTCGAAAAATTAAAAACTTAATATTTCAGAAAATTTTTAACTGATTTAAAAAAAAAATTGTACCGTTGTAAAGGTGATTTAACCCCTTCCTTGTAATATGCATATTTGTATACTTCGTATATAAAAATTTGAGAAAAAATACCTTTTTTTTGTATAATATTTTAAACAAAAAAATTACTAACCGATTTAAAAAAAAAGTGGTATAGTTGTAAAGGCGACTAAACCTCCTTTCTTCATATATGCATATTTGTATACTTCGCGAATAAAAATTTGAGAAAAAACCCTTAAAAGGAAAAAATAACCTTTTCATTAAAAAATATTTTAAACAAAAGAATTACTCACCGATTTTTAAAAAATCTGCATCGTTGTTAAGGCGATCAAACCCCCTTTCATCTAATATGCATATTTGTATACTTGTATGAAAAATTTTGAGAAAAAACACCTAAAAGGAAAAAATACCAATTTTTTTTTATAAAAAAGATTACAGAAAAATTACTAATTAAAAATACAATTAAATGCCGTATTTAAATAAAACAAATAATTATAAGTTCTAGTTCACCCACAGCCCTGTTAAAAATAAAGCAAAAGTATATGTAACAGAAGTGTAAGACATATAAAAATATAAAAACACAATGGTTTTTGACTTTCTACATAACAGGTTACATATAAAAATTAAAGGTAATTTTCTGTTTTATTTAAATAAAGTATTCAATTGTATTACTAATTAGAAGTTTTTTGCTTAAAATATTTTTTATAAGAAAAAAGTGATATTTTTTCCTTTTAAGTGTTCTAAAATTTTTATACACGAAGTATACAAATATGCATACCAGAAGAAAGAGGGTTTAATCGCCTTTAAAACGATACCAATTGTTTAAAAATCGGTTGGTAATTTTACAGGTCTATTCTGCGCTGGTAATAAAGTCTGTAACCGGTAAATAAAGTTCCTGTCAATTTTTAAACCCTTTTCGCATTCTCTGTACTCTGGTAACCGGTAAATTTTGTTACCATCTCATAAGCTGGTAACAAAGTATTGCCCCGTGAAATATGCAATGCCAGAATTTGCACAATTCTTCATAGCTGAATTGCTGAATATTTCAACTGCATTACCAACGAACCTAGAATCGCGGTGACAAGAACTGGTAACATTTTTTGGTAATAAAATTTTCCGGTTACAAATGTAAATGAGGTTTTTCTCAAATTTTTATATACGAAGTATACAAATATGCATTCCAGAAGAAAGGGGTTTAGTCGCCTTCACAGCGATACAAGTTTTTAAAAATCGGTTAGTATTTTTTTGTCTAAAATATTTTTTTTTTTTATAAAAAAAGGTATTTTTTTCTTTAAATGCGTTTTTTTTTGAATTTTTATATATGAAGTATACAAATATGCATATCAGAAGAAAGGCGGTTTAATCGCCTTAACAACGATAATACAACTTTTTTTTCGGTTAGTAATTTGTTTGTTTAAATTTTTTTTATAAAAAAGGTATTTTTTCCTTTAAATGTGTTTTTTTCTCAAATTTTTATATACGAATTATACAAATATGTATTTCAGAAGAAAGATCTTTAATCGCCTTTACAGCGATCCAAGTTTTTAAAAATTGGTTATCATTTTTTGTGTAAAATATTTTTTTTTTATAAAAACAAGGTATTTTTTCTTTAAATGTGTTTTTTTCTCAAATTTTTATATACGAATTATACAAATATGTATTTCAGAAGAAAGATCTTTAATCGCCTTTACAGCGATCCAAGTTTTTAAAAATTGGTTATCATTTTTTGTGTAAAATATTTTTTTTTTATAAAAACAAGGTATTTTTTTCTTAAAATGTGTTTTTATTTTATTTTTATGTATGAAGTATACAAATATGCATATCGAAAGAAAGGGGGTTTAATCACCTTTACAACGATATAAATTTTTTTAAAGATCAGTTCAAAATTGTTTGCAATATAAGCAATATAAGGAGGCTAACTTCGAAAAACGGAGAAATCACTGTTTTACCTATGACTCAATCTCTTAAAAAAAAATTGGTTTCGTCCAATACCCAGATAAAAAGTGAATTTTGTCGTACAGTGTAAAGTATAAGCTCCAAGTTGCTAAAAAATAGCGTTTATTTTTGGAATTTTTTCACGCATTTTCTTCCATACAAAGTAAATTCATTTCCACATGGCATTTTTTAAATGGAACAAATTTTTTTGTCACTTCAATGCCTAGCAACTTAAAATTTACAATTTATCATACTAGAATTTAATGGGATACAAAACTGCACACTCTAAAAAATTTGATTAACAAGTTTAAAACTTAGATGCTATTTTGCAGAATTTTTCAGAGTTTCAGATGTGAATTTATATGGTTTTTGTGAGATAATGAGCCGCACTTTTATAATTTTTTATAAAAAAGGAAAAATTTGTTCAAATCTCTCGACCCCATATATTTTTCTGTATGTGTGTATGTAAGAGATAAGATTATCGTATACGAAAATATAGTTAGTAAAATTTAAAAATTAAGTAACCATCATANTTTCAGAGTTTCAGATGTGAATTTATATGGTTTTTGTGAGATAATGAGCCACACTTTTATAATTTTTTATAAAAAAGGAAAAATTTGTTCAAATCTCTCGACCCTATATATTTTTCTGTATGTGTGTATGTATGTAAGAGATAAGATTATCGTTTACGAAAAAATAGTTAGTAAAATTTAAAAATTAAGTAACCATCATAGTACGGATCTCCTTATTTTTGATGATCTTCTGTTCTAGGGGCTGACTGGAAAAAAATCTAGAACCAGCCTAATGAAAATGCTGTATATGTAGTATAAATTGTGCCTNAGTACGGATCTCCTTATTTTTGATGATCTTCTGTTCTAGGGGCTGACTGGAAAAAAATCTAGAACCAGCCTAATGAAAATGCTGTATATGTAGTATAAATTGTGCCTATTTGCATCGCTATTCAGTGGATAGGTGGAAGGTAAGAGAGAGAGAGAAAGAAAGAGAAATGT